AGAAGTCTCACAAGAGGTTTAAAAGCTCACAGGATCCATCTGAACAAACCAACCACCTTTCCTACACCAGAGCCAGAAATGCGAGGTGCATGACTGGCCAATGGGAAAACGAACAAGGAACATACATAAAAAACCCCCACTTGTCATAAGCTCCCAAACAGAAGAATTGAGTGAATGAAGTTAATAGTAAATGAGAACACAACCAGCAGTCAAGAGCTATTGATTCAAAACCCTGGCTTTGAGCAGGTGATGCTGTATCACTGAAGTAATCGCCACCTTTCAGGAATGAACTCAAGGGACTTTTGGCTGAAGAAACCAATCTCTCGTGTTCTACATTTTGCACAGACTAGATGCGCTGTACTAGAGAATCCAAAGACAAATCAAAAAATAGACTCTGAGGTTCACGTGCTCCTTTTCAGCTATTTTTGTCAAAAGATGAATGGAAAAAAGAGCTGCTCCAGCAGCCACTAATACTGAGCCATTCTTACAAGGCAGCTCTTCTCCTCTGAAGTCCCCTGCTAACCATGTGAGATGTGAGCAGCCAAGCTTTTGTTTCTTTCCGCTCTATGTCATTTCCTCTGGAAGCAACGATGACTCCTTTCCATGAGCAAGACATGCCTATGACAAAGCCAGAGACCAATAGAGACGCTGATAGAAGTCAAAAATAGCTAAATAGCAATGCAGATCTCTTGCTCTGAATGGTCCACCCCCGCAATTAGGTGGTGATAATGGTGAAAATAATCAGTGTGCTACAAATGTTGTACCCCCCACTCAGCTACTTTGCCAGTATGAAATTCTGTCTCCCATTATGACTGCAGGCTCGTGGTGGGCAACACCGGCCTGTGCCAGTAGTGGCTGTGCCTGTTACCATAACACACAAGCTGGGTAGAGACACCATCTCCGAATGCTGTGGCAGCACCGGAACAGCTTCCTTCGAAGGCTTCGTAACACCATGAAGTACCAGACAGGCCCATGGAGAGTGTCAATTGTTTATAGAATCCCAGAATAGCTGGGGCTGGAAGGGCCCTCTGGAGATCACCAATGCAATCCCTCCCACCAAGGCAGGGTCACCCAGAGCAGGTGACACAGGAATGAGACCAGGTGGGTTTGGAATGTCTCCAGAGAGGGAGACGCCACACCAGCCCTGGGGGGCTGTCCCAGTGCTCTGCCACCCTCATGGAAAAAAGTTCTTCCTCAGCTTGAGGTGGAACTTGTTGTGTTTTAGTTTGCTCCTCATCCTGGCACTGGGCACCACCAAAAAGAGCCTGGCACCTGCCTTGGAGATACCACAGAATATCATGAGTTGGAAGGACCCACAAGGATCATCGAGTTCAACTCCTGGCCCTGGATTGGACACCCCAACAATTCCACCCTGTCTGTGAGAGTGTCGTCCAGACACTCCTTGAGCTCTGTCAGCCTTGGGGCCCTGCCCACTGCCCTGGGGAGCCTGTTCAGTGCTCCTGTTCAGAGCCCACCACCTTCTGGGGGAGAATAGTTTCCCGATACTTAGCATAAACCACCCTGACACAACTTCAGGCCATTCAGGTCCTGTCCCCACAGAGGAGGAATGGGTGCTGTCCCTCCACTTCCCCTCGTCAGGAAGATGGAGACCCCGGTGAGGTCCAACCTCACTCTCCCCTTCTCCAGGCTGAACACACCGAGTGCCCTCAGCCGCTCCTCATAAGGATGCTCCACACCCTCCCCACTACCGTCGTTGCCTCCCTTGTTGTGTGTATTATTGGTGGCCGCCCTGCCCGTTCTCCTCCCCACCTGGGTGTGTTCGCGGCCCCCCTGCCCTGCCGGTGGGTGGTGGTGTCCGTGTGGGTGGGTGTTGGTGTCCATGCGTGTTCGTGTCCGTGTGGGTGCCTCCCCTCACGCCTCTCCCCTCAGACCCTCCCGCCCGGCCCCGCGGGCGGCCGCGCGCGCCCCGGCGCCACCTGGCGGTCCGCGCGCCACAGCGCCGCCCGCGCCAAGATGGCGCCCCGCGCCGGGCCCGTCCGGCCCCCTCACCGAGATCTGAAATAAATCCCGCTGAGCACACCTCAGCCGTGATGAAACTAGGGCGGGACAGGTGCTTCTTAGTCAAACTGTGATGGCACAGACACTTTAAAGCTGCACAAGCCGGCGTTGGCGATGGAAGCGTCCTGCTCATCCCATCACCGCCCATGTCCCTCGGCCAGCCCCGGGCATGCGAGGGGAGATCCAGGGGGCCCAGCCAGGAGACTGGTTAATTCCCGCCCGTTAATTCCTTTGCCACCTCATTTTAGCACAGCTGAGCTCTTCAGCCCATGGCACAGCCGTGTTCACTGCCCAAGGGCAAGGGATGGGTTCCATCTTCCAGGAGCAGTGATAACTTACCATGAAACTTCAGCCAAAGGCTCGACAGCACCACTTCCACATGACATTTAATGTTCCACTGCTGATCCTCCTGCTTATTTAAGCAAAGAAAACAAAACAAAATTAAAACCATTACTTCATTTTGTGACTTAGAGGGGAATAATCCGCAGCCCAGATTTGAGGTCAGCTTTCCTTTCACGCTTTGGTTTGTGCACTATATAGTGTGCCCATAGTAGTATCTCTTTCTCACCACTTCTTTAGATGTCTTTATTTCTCCACAGTAAATCTCCTCCCTCTTTACTCCACACCTGGAATAAGAGAAGCTTTTTTTACTCCCCACCATCACTCCTTTCATTTTGCCTCAGCATTGTGTTCCCATTCAACCTTATAACAATTTACCTGCTTTTTCCCATGGATTTTTTTTTTTAATATCAAGCTCACTCCTTGATAAAAATATTTGGGTCAGGTATTTTATATCATCAAGTGTTCAGGCCCACAAGACATGAATATGGTGTTCTAACATCACACTTTTTGAAGGAACATGAAAAAAAAAAATCCAGCACTAAATCTCTTCTACAAAGTTTTCCAAAAAGCCTTTGGCTTTCACTGAAAAAAATTAGGCTGCCTTTGTTGGGATTCAAAGGCTCTCCTAGCAAGTCATTAAGGTGAGAAGGCAGAGAAGTTTAAAAATAGCCAAAGTAGACAAGTACAGAGCTCTGTATAACCCTGGAGACTCCAGCAGGAACTCTGAGCACTGTGGCAGACGAGCAGGGCTTCAGGATGATCTGGTCCCATGGCAGCTCCAGAATCCCGAACAAACCCTCCTGAGGATCAATAATCAGGGTCTGAGAGGGAGCAAGGAATGCAATGCCACAATGTATTTCCACAGTGAACTAACATCTGTCCCAGCTCTTTAGGGATACGTTCACACCAGGCAGAATAACATCACCCAGGAGAGGCTTGAGAGCTTCCACTTGGCAAAATCTTCTACCAGACTACACAAATATCTTATTTTGTATTCAGCAGTATTGTAGTCTTTTTTTCTTGGTACAACAGCTACACAAAATTAAACCTCATAATGAAAGTTAGAAGTCATATGCTTGAGGAAATAGTTATGGCTAATTGAAAATTAAAAACTGCAAAATTAAGGCAACTCTCTGTGCGAAGGAACCCAAAAGCTCCATTCTGATTTCCGTGGTGCTGAAATACACGACTGAGGTGAGCTGGCAAGGCCAGGCCCACCCCAAGAGACACTGAAAAAGATGCTGCCACAAAAGCTGTGATTAATTCCCAAGTAGGAAAAGACCTAAATTACACGGCTGCTTTGAGTAGGCTACCAATGCAAGTGCAAGGTCCAAGGGAGATCAGTATTAAAGCACATGTTTAATTTCAGCTGAAGAGGCCTGAAGGAAACAATGACTTGCAAGGAGCAAAGGACACAAGTTGTTTCTGTACTTCTTGTCAGGACTAACAGGCACACAGTTACAAAAACACTCCTGTAATAGCACTGTACAGGAAACTTGTTTATGTCTTCTTTATTTCCTATTTAACACCAGTATGAGTGGTACTTGATAAATCAATAGACTCCAGCTGACATGAACTAATACTTAAATGAAACTTATTCCCTACTAACTAACTGACTTTCAAACATCATCTTAATCAAGCTTGAAAATTCATTTTTGTAAATGTTGACAGCATTAACAAGACTTGTGTCTGGCCCACTGTAGATGTGTACATGACTAATAAAGTAGATCCTAACCCCCAAGTAAGAGAGAAGCTGTCAGTGGTTTAACCACATGAAAATGATGTGGGTATCCTGGACTAAGTTGTGTCATAACCTTGAAAATGCTGAACACAAAACCAAAACACAGATCCCAAGCTTTGGATGTATAGCAGTCTGACTTACTGCAAATCACTGACAACCACACATGGAGATGGAATTGATGGAGAGATTACTAACCACCTGAAGCATATTTAAAAGATAGTTAATAGCATTTCAATGTTTAATAAAAACACCTAAATTGTCTTTTGCAAGTTGTTTGTTTTTGGTTTTTTTGTGTGTTTGTTTGTTTGTGTTTGGTTTTGGGTTTTTTTGTTTTAAGTTTTAGCTCATTTGTTCATGAGTTTGCAAAAAAATACCCACTTTTCTAGTTTTAGAGCACAGGACAGAAAGAGTATGAAGGGCAGGCTCAGTAACAAGGTTATTAGTGGATTTAAGCTATTAGGATATGATTACAAAAAAAGCCATTATCAGTAACTGGGTGTTGCAGGTACTTGCATGACAACATTGTGGAGAAGTCACTGCACCAAAGAGGACAAGAATCTTGTGCTCCCAACGTGGGGGCAACAAATATGCTCTTATTGACTTTCTTAAACCTAACATCACAGAGCCTTAAAAAAGCCTTTCACACTGATGAAATGCAAAGTATTTCCTTATACTACCAGGTAATTAAATAGTAGTTCAAGTGGAAAGGAATGTTAATTGGAAGGACAGGATATGATATCTTATTAGCAACACTTCTGAACTCTAAGAACTGCTGATTCAATAGCACAGCACTTCTTCAATTGCTTTGTGCTTCATAGCTCTAAAGCACTTTTAAAATCAAGCACACGACATAAAGCCCTCAGAGACAAATTTATCTCCTATTTGAGTGGCAAAGTACACAAGTGATCCATCATAGCTGCACGAGGAGTCTGAATTCTTACATCTTGGCTGCCATCTCGCCTCTCCAAGAACCAGCCATACCATTTCTTGCATATTTCTACAGCATCCAAGAACAATATTCTAACTGTCCAACACATTTTTTCTCAGGTTAGCATTGGAAGCCATTTATGAAGCTACCTTAAAGCTGATTATTCCTCTACTACCACACAGAACTACATCCCAGTATCTGAGCACTGATACTGGTGTTGCAAAAGACGTGTTCATCAGAAGTAATTCTGGCGAGCCTGAAACGAGAATGTCACTGCTGGTTTTAAGATAAAAAACATCAAAAGCGTATTTAGTACTAGTCTAAATCTTTCTCCTGCTGGTGTACTGAGGAGATGAAGATTTTCACTTGGTTACTTATGAAAATCCAGGGATGTCTTTGTATCTGTAACCATACGTGAATTTTCAATTTCATAAAGTAACTCAAGCCCTAACACGTTGTTAAGAGCTCCTCACCTTGAGAGAAGTTAAATACTGCTGGCATTTAAGGGCTGGATATTATTGCAGTTAACAGGTGCATTCCTTCCTCAAGGAGGCAGCAGCAGGGGAAGTTGGTCTTCCTGTAAATTAGTTCCTCAGTTTAAGAAAGCTACTTGTAGGTATTGGTGATTTGTACAACTGCCATTGCTGCCCTGCCTGAGTGGGCCCTTCAGCCTCAGTCCCTGGAAGTGTCCCAGCCCTGCTCCTGGATTGTGCCTCCTCTGCAGAGCCAGGCCTGTCAAGCCCATTTTATCCTCACAGACACAGGCATTCCTGAGGACATGGCTCCTGCAACAACCCACCCCCTTGATTCCTAGTGGATTATATGTAGGAGAAATTCTCCCATACGTAGAATCTTGCAGGAAGACATCAAAACCTCAGTGGGTACTTATGTTCCAGCTAAATGGCCTGTGCTCCTGCTGCAAAGAGCACGAGCTGCCCCCAGGAAGTGACCCCCCAGCCCATGTACTGAGCCAAGGAAGGTGGGAGAGGGGGCATTTGCAGAGCCCACATCGCCCCAGGAGTGCACCACACCATTTCAGCATTCCTTCAGTGCCCAGGCAAAGTGAAGAAAACTCCAAGACACTGAGGCCCAAGTGCCCAGGGGAGCAGCCTGGGCTCTTTCAGCAGCACACAGACACTGCAGTGGTGTTCTCAGCCCTTGTGTCCCCTCCCCACGGCTACATCAGCAAGGATGAAAAGCACTGACCCACACGAGTGAAACAGGCCTGCAGACACGGAGGGAAGGTGCAGAACAGGAGTCCTGTGCTCGGCCCCAAAGCTGCAGAAACAGAAGCCACACACAAAAGGCTGAACACAGCTCGAGTCTCTGGTCACTGGGTAA